AAACAGAAAAATTCCAGAAACTACATGAAAGCTAAATTTTCATTATGAAGAATTAGTGAGAGGTATCCAGATTCTATACAAAATTTTCCCGGAACCAAATACAAATACAGGAAACGAAATAAGAAATTAACACTGATAACCATAATAATATTCGTACTGTGATAAAACCCATAAAAATATTTCAAATTACATGGATATAGGCAAATGTACATTTCTCCCATGGATTCGAAACATGAACGATTCTCTCTGTGTAGAATATCAAATCGTGTTTCCCATGAGGAAACAAGATTGATTCCTATGGGAGTAATAAGAATTGAGTCCTGGGAGCAAGTCAAGCGAGGATTTTACGTTTCAACAAGAGTTCCACAACACAATAGCGCTTGACCCCATTGTTTTCTGTTTCGTAAACAATCACGGTTATAGTATGATGATGTTGTTTCCTTATTCAGATAAGCATTTTTCAAATTGTTTGTCATACTATTTCTACTATTTGACGAAGGCGCAGCTCTTTCAACCTCTTATTAAAATTTGACAGTGAAAACCAGTTCCTTCGCCATAATTCACTACAATTGTTCTGTATCTATCTGTAGAGTAGAAAGGGTGAGTGTTAGCTCACAGTACTTAGGCCACATGTGAGCCATTGTACATTCTCCCGAGGAGTTGTCCTCCTAGGTCATCGTCCATTCTGTCCTTTCCAGGAAGGTGGACAGGTCTCTGGGAGACATCTCCTCTATATCGGTAGGTGTAGGCCAAGACTCGCCGAATACACACTCTCTTATTGACGATAACTCCGGGCACTCGCACAGGACATGCCTGACAGTCTCATCGTCCTGTTCACACATCCTGCATAGAGGTGTGTTCACCAGCCCCATATTATGAAGGTGTTTCCTTAGTTGACAGTGGCCAGTCAGAAATTCTACTGTTAGGCGTAGATTTTTCCTGGTCATTGCCAGATATTTCTTAGACGCCAGCTTCCCAGGGTCACCCAAGGTGATCCTGGCAAGATTACATCCCTTGGTTTCGTCCCATCTCTTTAAGGATTTAGCATGGGTGTTACATTTGACTAATTCCGCAATTGTCGAAGTCATCAAGCCGTAGGTGCCACTGTATCCTAAAACTCCTAGTCCAGCTGCTTCCTTGGCTAAAGAGTCGGCAATGCGATTACCTTTACTCCTGTCGTGTCCTTTAACCCACCTCAGGGTAAATGTATTATCTATCGAGGCTTTGGCTAAATCTTGGTGACACTCTAGTACTAGCCCTGAGGTTATACGTTGTCTGTTCAAGGCTAATAGGGCTTGTCTGCTGTCACTGCAGTTATTTTAGAGGGACATTATTNCCAGCCAGTTCTGTTTGGACCACGCTGGTATTTCTTCCCATTCCCCACTTAATTCTTAGGCTTAGTGATCTGGAGTACACTCTATACCCTGAGCCTTTTTTGGTTTTTGAGCCGTCTGTATGAATCCGTATTGCATTTGTATCATCTGACTCTATGTTCTGCTCAATTTGTATTTTGTAGAGTTTATTAAACACAAACCTGGGTTCAATTGCATCGCTTGTTACCTGCAGCAGAGGTTGCGCAGTAATCGCTTCCCGCCACAGGCCAAGCCTCAATTCCCATTCCTACTTCGAGGTTTACACCAGCCGTGCGCAATCGTACCATGGCCATTAACGCAACCTCCTTAACGTACAGATCAAGAAGGGTCACTACAATTGTTATTGTAGTGATATATTCAATGCATCAGCTTATTATTTCACCTTATTATATTATGATGATATATGCTAAGCGAAATGCTGAGATGTAAGAACACTTCAGTGCTACGTTGTTACATCGCACGATATATTCTAGATGTTACACTAATACGAAACAATTGCGATGTCAATAAATACTATAGGTACCTACTTTTCAAGCTGTCATGGAGACATTTGACAATTATTAAAATTATTCATCCACAACTATTGGATAATGTACCCATTATATGTCTGTTTGCTCGACCTTAATACTACCCTCACGTCAGTGATTTATGAGTCATTAATGACTGCTGTCAGATGCTTCCTTGATTTAACTATAATATTATATTGTTTTGCTAAAACCAAACGGTTTGTAAAATTGTATCGTGTATACTACCAAATATTTCCAATTCAGTCCTGTACCTATACATAAGAACAATAAAAAGTTAATTTTCCTAGACCAGATTCGAACCCGGGACCCGTGGTGGAGGACCCGTCAGCGACTTTGAATGTACGTGTCATATGTATTTTTAACATGCCATGTTTTTCGAAACATTTTATAAATCGAAATAGCTTTTAAAACAGAACAAATTTGACTCGCACCTCTCAACCTTATTGTTTGTGTGCGTGGATTTCTCAGTGTTTTGATTTTTTTGTTGTATTGTGTTGAAAAACGAACTTAAACGAGATGAAGAAAATGGAAATGAATTTTCTTCAAAACCATCAGAAATTAGTGAATCTGAAAAATTACGAGCATCATTAAAACGAAAATCAGAAGTCTGTCAGACTAAAAAAGCGAAAACTTTTTCTAGCGAAGATTTCAATAATTTTTTGACTATAAAGTATTTGACTAAAGTATTTGATAAATACCTAGCAACAAAAGATATTAAGTGAATGTTTAACATAGTAATTCCATTACATTCTGTAAGTCTTCGACCAAGTCACGTAACCATTGACACATTCTTTTTGAATTACCAAAATGGTAAATATATAACTCAGAGAATTGGGATGAACCAATTTTTGTACCGGCTGCCACTGTAGAGTATTCAACATAGATTCAATAGGGGTATACTGGTTGCATCTCAAAATGATTCTCATACCTCGATTTTGTAGTTTTTGCAACTTTCCCATTAGATTTTGTTTGAATAGATACATCAGTGTGGCACAGTAGTCAAAGTGTGGCCTTATTACGGGTGACACGTCACCTGACAGAGATAGTCCAACAACCCGCCGCTGCAGAACATTTCCTGCAAGGGTGCAATCTTATTTTAATAAATTTCATAAGTGAAGAATTATAGGTATACATTTTGACTACACAGTCAAATAGATTCGATCACATAATTGAGACTTTTTTCAATAGTCATTAGAAATAGTGTATTATTCAACGTTTGGTTAATGTCTTTAATCGCGAGAATTGAGTTTGTCGTGAGTCGAATGATTTAAGACACTCGAAGGTGAGTGTTTCAAATCATTCTAGCGAATAATGGTCATTTCTCGTAAGTAGAGAATATTATACTTTTCCTATGTTTCATTGTGAATATTTCAAATTCAGATTCATTCGTGATGGCTACCCTGCATTTGAGTAATATCAATAGTATCTATAAAATCATACTGTTGGGGTTTTGTAAACTGTTCAGTGAAAATCTCACAGTATAAAAAGTCGGCCAATTTCACACATACTATATACTATAAACAATTAGTTTTGTTATCTTATTCAATTTAAAATAATTTGGAAATTGAATGTATTGAAAAGTAAGAAGGTGTAGTCGGTAAAAATTGAACTCACGACTTTTGTTATACAAGTTTAGAGCTCTACCATTACTCTACTAATTTCCTTAGAAATATGAGCGTGATATAAAGTTAACTGAATTTCTACCACACTCGCACTTTGTTATCAAGAGACAAATTTTTTAAAATATCAAATTTTTCGCTACATCACAAATTTTTTATGAGGTACACTCTGAGTTCGTTGGTAACTATATATTTCAAAACAAACTGTCACTTCAATGATTAATTTCGATGTTTGAGAACATATTTTGAGCTAGATAAATTCTCAAGGCTCATTTGCGATTAAAAACTATCGAAACACAAGTGTAAACTTATGAATCTGTTCATTTGAGATTGACCTCTAAAGTGAGTTATGAATTTGGTCAACTTTCATAAGCGAAAATTGAAGGGCCTATATTATTATCACCTATATTATCATCACTTTTTTTCATCTACCTATACCTTTTATGGTAGGCCCCCAGTAAACGTATAAAAAGTTCATATTGAATTTCAAAAAAACTTTTAGCAATACTATGTGAAAATATTGTACCTACGTCCATTCTTTAAGAGTCCGTCTTTGAAATTGGATATACAAACCTCACTATAGTCTTAGTAGACTACAGAAATAAATTAGGATGAATATATTCGAACAAATATATTTTTCCCCTTTTGTAAACATTTCTTCAACAAACTATGTTGAACTCTCATTTTATACGGGCGTCTCCAATATTCTTTCGACTGCAAAATAAGGCATTTTCATTAACATGTGTTTTATTTCACATAATATCAAATACACTATCTATTCCAATTCTGCCACCACCGCTTTCAAGTCACAACATCGTTCAACAAATTTCAACCTGATTTTCCTAATTAGGAGAAAAATATACAACTTTCTGCCTAAAAGATAGATAAAAGGTCGCAAAGAAGTTAAATCCACCCATACAAATCATGAGTAATTTACTTAGAACGTCAAAAACATTTTCTAAAAAATATATGGAAGAATTATATGAAAGAAATATCATATGGAAAAATTAATATTTGGATCCAGTGATGGTTCGCAATTCAAATTTTCCTCCTAACCTCAATAATATTAGCTTACATCCTGAAATGAGGCTATCAAAATACCTTGACAATAGTCGGATAAGAACCTTATTTGAAGGTGTATTAAGGTTCATGGAATACTAAGTCAATGACGTAACAAACATCGTCCGTACAATCAGACGTCAACTCGAATGAAGTTATGGTCTATTGAAAAAAAAGCAAATATACACAACATAGTAATCCTTTCAACGTATATAAGTTCTGATCGCTAGCTATAAAATCAATATCATTTTGTATTGATGGAAAAAATCTCGAGTTTCCATTAGTGAAAGTTGCTGATTAGTGTGAACCTTATTCATTCTTATTGTAATGAAATAATTGAAATAATTCCAAGTATTTTACTCTATATTAGGTGATGCCTTGAGATTTTTGAAGTATTTTTATTGCTGTCTCTAGACAATCTTGATGCCATCTGTCAATGTCAGTTTGATTTGGAATAGTTCAAAATTGACAAATTGACTAGAATCAGAGAGATTTCTTTAGGTTAAGTTCTAGAATTTTCTGGAGTATATAAAGTCACAATTTCACGAGGAAGAATATACGATTTGTTCATTTTCTGTGCAACACTATTAGGAGCATTTATTAAACTTACAGGTACTTTTATATTTGAATTTTTTAATTGAAGGTTCAAAGATACATTCTTTAGTTAATACACACGTGTATTTTATCCTTTTAAAAGTGTCTATGTAGTATTCATATCTCAGTAACAACTTCTTAATTCGAATATTTTATTAGCAATATGGCCAAATGGGGAGAAGGTGATCCAAGATGGATTGTAGAGGAGCGCCCAGATGCTACGAACGTCAACAACTGGCATTGGACCGAGAAAAATGCTAGTTCTTGGTCTCAAGACCGCATTAAGGAACTGTTTAGAGATGTCAAAATAAAAGCAGATGACGCAGATATTACAATAAATGAAGTTGAAAAAATGGAAGGTGAAGCATCTGCAAACAATAGAAAAGGAAAATTAATATTTTTTTATGAGTGGGATATAATTCTCAACTGGAGTGGAAAACTCAGGGACGGTACAGGACGAGATATTACTGGTAAAATCCAAGTGCCCAATTTGTCTGAAGAAAATGAGGTTTCAGAGTTGGATGTAAGTAACCCCTCAAATTCAAAATTGAAAAACATAAAAAACAGTTGACAGGATATTCTTAAGTTCTACTGGATGATTGTGATATTATTTTCAGTAACCTATTCACATTCCTGTACTGTGACCATTTATTCACTTCCTACTTCCATACTTCCATTTCTTCAAAATTGTATGTTTTTCTGCAAAGGACATAATTGTTTATCAAAACTGAATTACATTTTTCCACAAGAAATTTCATCTTTGTTTCTGTTGGTAGTTTTATAAGAGTAAACTAGAAATGAATGTGATTTATATGGCTATTGAAAAGATAAGGAATGCCACTTTTTTGTCGCGTGCCTTCCACAATTGGTTCCTCCATGTTTGTAGCTTGTGTTGTGTTTTACTTGAATAAAAGGGTGAATTGACAAGTCATATTTATGGAAATAAACAAACTTTTACTTTTGAAATTTTCGATATTTGGCGCAACTATTTTCATTTTTTGACTCTCTGTTGTCAACAAATAACAAATACTCTAGTGAAGTGATAATATCATTTCGAGCTAGTAAGTAAATAAGTAGCTGACATAATTCCTTTGTAATACAGCAGCATTCAATTTTCATGAAATATTGCAGATGTGTATATTCCAAGAGATGTCCCTGTCATGCCTAATTCCAAATACCTGAATATTAGACCTAAGGATTCAACTAAAACAGGGCTGCACTTGCCCACTGACTCAAGGCAAAACTTGTATCATTTATTTTATATTCTCAATAACCAAAACCTATTATCATTCTTTCGAATCAAGACTTGAATCTGCTTCAGGGAAAAACTTTCTTTCCCATGAAATATTTGTTACACAAAAGTGTGTACTACAATTCAGTTTTAGGTGAGTTCAAGTTTCCTTTCATGAAAGAAGTGTTGCCCTTCTGAAATTTATTTTTCCATCATATGTTTGGTCCCTGAAATTAATAACAATACATAAAATTTTTCAATATCATGTCAGTTTCAATTTTTTTCAATCATCTAAAAAGTTAATAGATACCTCATTCAAATTTTTAAAATTTAATGATCTCTAGACCCCATTTATATACGGGGTGGGCCAAATTTTATGTTCCACTTTATAACTTACTTATTTGAATATATAGAGATTTGTGCTCACAACCAATTCAAATGGGGATTAAATTTCTTCAATTTTTCACATCACAGACTACCCTTCGAAAACTTTCCCCTTTGGAAACACCCCTTACTTTTGTTTTCCAAATGACACCCCATTATTTTTATCACTTTCTGAAAAAAGGGTTGCAATTCTAAATACACATTTTATGTGAAAACGAGAGCTCAAATTGGAATAAATAATTCAAGGGGTGTCATATAAATATCTTGTGAGAATTACATTGACCATGTTCAACTCAACAACTTTGATCCACCTATAAAGTGGAATGAAACAATTCTTACCATTATTCAACCCACCGCTTGAAGCGAAACACAAATAATTTTGATACTTTTTTTAAGTGAATAGAGGCTGTTGAGGTAAATGGTTGTTTAATGTTTGTATTGGTAAAAGAATTCAAGCAAAATTGCAGATAGATACTTTTCCTTCTTACTGCAATAATTCACAACATGACGGGGCCGCCCAAAGTGGGAAAATGTTAGGAACGTTTTAACCTACTACAATATTATTCGTTATATTTTCTCAAGAGCTATTGCTACAGAACTCGACATAAGTAGAACCACTATTTGCTGAATATTAAAGGATTAGTTTCACCCTTTTAGAATTATTTTGCACCAGGAACTGTGAGAAAGTGATTATATGCGAAAATCAACTATCAGTGCTCAAATGCAAATTATCTTGAATGATGAACCGTTTTTTCAAGGTAAAATTTTTTGGAGTGATGCATCCTGCTTTCACAACATGGGGTGGTAAACCGACACAATTCCATTACTGGTCTGCAGAAAATTTACACTAGTTTCAACAGAAAAACTTCCAAAGTATATGAGGCATAAATGTATAGAAAGGGTAATTGAACCAGTGAAACATATTTTAATTCAATGGAAAATTATCTACCCCAATATTTCACATTCACATTCTTCTGTTTGGTTGCAGTTATATTTTATGGTATATCAATGGATTCTGAATTGCAACCCTTAATCAGTGACAAAAATCATGGGGTGCCATTTGGAAAATAAAAATTAAGGGTGTTTCCAAAGGGGTGAATTTTGAAAAGATAGTTTATAATGTGAAAAATTTAGGAAATTTCATCCCTATTTGAATTGGTACTGCGCCAAAATCTCAATTTTTTTCAAATGGCAAAAATATAGACTCGGACATGAAGTTTGGCCCACCCGTTGTTGCTGACTACTTAATCAAAGAAATTGTATGAAATGATATTTGACAAAGATTCGAGTTTTTTCAGTATTTTCTGAGAATTAGAAAAAATGTAACTTTACCCTCGACCTTTCAACCACTATTTCTTCAAAGCTTATGAGATTTGATATGTTCAGAAAAACATCACAAGGAAACTCCACCCGAAATTAATGACAATGATTTTGCAGTAATTTTTGTCAACATCTTCTTTATTTTCAGATTCAAATTTCCGTGAAAGATGAAGATGATGAAGGTACAAAACTCAAAGAAATTATGCTAAAGGTAGGAAAGGATTTTGTTCGTTCTCAATTGTCTAAGTATATTTCTGGACTCAAAGAGGAATTTTCAAAAGGTATGATTTTACCTAAAAAAGACCAGATCAAACCAGACTCTGTTAAAAATCTAACTAGTGGATTTAACAAAAAAATCAATATGGAACCAGTTGTTAATAATGAAAATCAAAGGATAGGTCTGAAAATTGATACTAGGACCATAAAAGAGTCGCACAAATTTCAGTGTACTGCACAGGAGTTTTATGATTCTCTTACTAGAATTGAAATGGTTACCGCATTCACAAGAGGTCATGTTAAATTGGATCCTGTGAAAGGGGGTAAATTTGAGTTGTTTGGAGGTAATATTTATGGAAAATTTGAAGAGTTAGTGCCTGCAAAGAAGATTATTCAGCAGTGGAGGTATAAGCAATGGCCTGAAGGACACTTTTCAACAGTAACTATTGAGATAGATCAGAAGGTAAGTTTCATTGATCTTTAATACAATCAAAATTTGGTGACTTATGGAAAGAGAACACCATAATGAATGTATTGTTTGAGGGTCTTTGGCACATAAAAATGAAGTTTAAACTTTTTTGACAATCTCGATAAAATATAGCGAAAAATCATTAAAAAAATATTTAATCAATTACTTGAAAATTAAAAGTGGATCATTCCATGTCAATTATCACACCAATTAAACCCTACTGTCTCAGATTTTGTCAAAACTTGGTTCAGGTGTACATTTTATATACTCAGAAATTTATAGTTTTCATTTTTTATGTCAACACATATTTGAATTATAAATATTTTGAGTTTCTAAGAAACACCTAAAATTGTTCTATGGGTATTCATGCAAATTGCAATTGCTCATCTCCTTCTAAATGCCTTGGAAAAGGTATCATTTTTTTTTCTATTTTCATAATTTTTTGCTGGTGGCTCATTGCAGGATTTGTACAGAATCTGTTCAAAAGAGAAAAATGATACTCTGCTTTTTCTTGAAGTAAAAATTTTTTCAAAAGCACTATTTTGAGCAAAATTAATCTGTTGACTTTTTTCTCTTGACAAAAGTTTTTCACAACTCACGAAAAACAGTTCATGTCTAAGTTACAGACAATATTCATTTAAGAGAATATTTTATATTTGCATATCTGCAAATTCATAACTTGTTTAATTGATCATATTTGATATTTTCACTTCGAATACTCAAACACATGATAACTAGGCTAGGTAGAAAACTGTAACTGTTATTTTTTATGTGAAACTGTACTTTGAACAAAAAAATCAAAAGACCAAATTTGTTCAAAAAGAAATGGTTATTTAAAAAATAACTTTTACTTGAGGAAAATTAGTGGCATATCACTTTTTAAAATTAATGAGTTCACAACCCCCCCAATGCATATGAAATGCATAATTAGAGAAATATCTAGGGTCATATAAAATGTTATAAAAAAATACTTTTCAACAGTTAAAACTTGCACCACGTTTTTTTCCTCAAAATTAACCCAAAATGATCTCCAAAAATATTAGCAGTCAGAAACGCTCTGTTATTATGACTGTTATTATGTAAGTACTAGATTTTGATCAACTGAAACTATAGTGATGGCAAATTAAAAAGACGATGATTTTCACATTCTCATGATTCAATGTAATCACATTAATAGTATATTATGCAACGATCATGTAATGATGGTTATTAAGACACGAGCATTAACCGGGATATGCAACGAGCCGAAGGCGAGTTTTGTATGGTATATGCGAGTGTATTAATAACCATTACATGAGAGTTGCATACGCTATTTTTTCTAAACCCGATAAATAATGAAAAACTATAAATATTATATTTGTATTGAACACATTTACAGTAATTAACTCATATTTTTTTAAAAAAACACAAACTTAATGGTATTATCATGGATATATGAAAACTATAAAGATTCTAATTATATTTATATATTGAATATAACAACTGTAATTAATCTGATCTTTTAAAAATATTGGAGTCGATGGTATTCCTTCTATATCGCTGTTTTCAGACATTTTGATAATATAGGTAGGTAATATGAAAACTGATTTTGACAAATAAAGCAATTAGTTACTTAGGTTAGAATCTAGGACAAACAAAGGAACAGGATTCTTGATTGAAAAATTATGGGTTTCTATTGGTTGATAATCTGTATCGTTATGAAAAATCTGTATCATAATGGATATCATTATGAAACGGATTATGGTCATATAAGTGTATTGTTAGAGTACGGGTGTAGAAAAAATATGTTTTTTCCATCAACCCACTGTCACCCATCTAGGAACCAACAGTGTGTGCGAACTGAGGATTAACGAGATCTTACCTTTTAACGTGCGATTCCCAGCACGGTGTGGATGTTAAGCAGTGCAAATCCTTTTTCCAGCCGTTGGGCTCGAACCACTGTTCCACATAGCAATCGATTAAATATGTAGAATGAATCGTCCAAGCTTACCTAACCAGATACCGTCTCACCTTTATATTAACTCATGGAAGAGTGCATTTACTCCAATAATTCTATATTATTATAGTGAACAAGGTCCTTTAGCATGTATTTTTTGAATTTTCACAATATTCAACCTTCAATGATGATGGCTTGATATGCTTCTAAAAGTTTTAAAAAAATGTTATTGAAAATACAGATTTGATTTGAAAACTCTAAGTGAAGCCCAAGGAAAAACACCTTTTATAAAAGCTCTGATGACAAAGTGGAAATCTGTTCAATTAAACCATATAAATGTACGAAAATATTTCAAATCTTTCAATTTTCTTATATATCTAAGAGTAAATGTGTAACATCATGATAATGGGCTCCAAAATACTCAATTTGCCTTCATTGACCTCTGCAACTCTTACAGTTTTCTCAAGATTCCTATTTAGCAACTCATTTGTGATGTTTATAAAATTTCATTTTATTTTAGAATGATCATACTGAAGTTACTTTGGAACAGACAGGTGTACCTAGTGCCGAATTGGAAGTTACCAAAGGCAATTGGCAGCGCTACTATTGGGATTCCATGAAACAAACATTTGGATTCGGTGTGTTCTTCACGTAGATAATTTTTTTAATGACTCTAAAGTGAACAGCCTATTGAACAGGAAGCAAAGAAATTTTTGTGTGTAGAATTTGATGATTCTTAGTTAGAATTTCGTCATCCAAACATTCTTTTCTCAAAGCTTTTTGTATTGGAAACTCTTTTTCCTCGTCCGAAGTGTTTAAAAAACAGGCTACAATTGTTATTTCCTGTTTCAAAATATTCATCGAAATAGTATGAGCACAGAAGTAATAATTTTCATGAACAAGGGTTTTTTGCCTTTTTTATAGTGCAAATATTCATAGATAATTCGAACACAATTAGTTTTGTTTTTATTGTATTTTGACAGTTTGACAAATATTTGGAGAATAATGTACTTTTCTTTTAATTTTTTTGCGTACAGTCATGGGACGATAAAAATTTATTCACCTGCACACTATTGCATGTCAGTATAAGGTATAGAATGTTGATTGAACAATAGAAAAATTACTTTTTTTGAATAGCAATTGAATAGTGTATATCTCCAAAAGTATGATTATTTGATTTTTTCCATATAAGATGGTCATCATTTCAAATCAAATAATATTCCTTCTGTGACTGGTGGCCCCATCTGATTCTGCGAACTGACCTTATTTTACCCTCTGTCCGAAACATTTTCCGGATGCTCCTTTGAGCAGAAACACATGTATGATTCTCTATCATAAACATGTAATGTTTCTCGAGAATAAAGCATCACTATCAATATTCTGAAAATTATAAAAAACTTACATTTTAGTGAAACTTTACAACTTAGGCTCTTCCCAATTAGGCATTCCAGATATGTGTCAAATTCAAAAAGGCGTCTCATGGCACACATAGATTGTTGATTTTTTTAACATTTCTGATTTTCAGTTTTCATTTTCACATAGAATATTCGTGTTTTTTCAGGATTCAGCAATGATATTATTGAAGATGCTGAATCATTTTTCTTACAACTTTCAACACAAATTCAATGATAAACTAGTTTTTATAGTAAGTACCGTTTCGAAATAAAAAAACAGTAAGGAAACATTCTTCTAAAAACATTTATTCGTGTGAAAGCTCCAGCTTCACTCTATTTTCTAACATCCCCATTATCATTAGGGCATTTATCGTATCATATGACCAACTTTTGTAAGCCATCCTCAATAAAGATTACCGCCTAATTCAGTAACTACTGCAGCACGCTTGTTTTGACTTTGTTGTCATCATTGTTGAGCTGCCTAGACAGATGCGCCTTCAAATGCAGGAAGAAATTTTGTACACTCGGCGCTAGACTAAGACTTTAGAGGTGGTCCAAATATTCCCAGCCAAATGACAGGAGGTCGACCACTTCATTTCTCATCGTGAATGTTTGTACAGCCTTCTCTAAAGGCCCTAACCCATTTATGTTCCAATTTCATCACTCATGTTTTCACCATAAACTCCACAGATTTGGCGATGAGTTTTAGCTGCTTCAGCCTTTATCTCTCGAAAAACGAATAACACACACTTCAGTCAGCAGGATTCTCAATCAGCGGCAGCATTTTCAAAGATTTACAAATAAATCAGAGTCGACTGGTCAAGTAATAGCACAGTATAGTGTTCTAGTGTGGTAATAGCGTCTGCAATGTCCTTGTCGAAATCCACAAATCCACACTACATGAAAGTAGAAGTTGTAAAAGAAAACAGAAAAGTACGTTTTCCCCAATATATTGTTTTTTAACAATAGTTTCTTCATATAATCACTATGCATTAGTAAATGAGTATGGGCAATCAACAAGCATTTGTTGATTGCCCATATTCTTATAAATAAAGCAGTTGTGTGTCCTACAGTTGTCTTGGTCACCTAATTTGGAATTCCTAATGATTAAAATAGGTTTAATCAAAAAGAAATATGAAAAGGGTAAATATAATACAGTCTTACCAAAAGGAATAAAATTTTCACTTGATTATACCATCCATTATGTATCAGAATAATATAATGTATTATTTGTATAAAATCACACCTAATGAGGTTTCGATAAGTAATTAACTCAAATATTTCATATTAAGTGTCATTGCAACGACAGGCACCTGACTGAAACACTTAAGGGGAGACAACTAAGTACAAATATAAATGTAGCAGTCATAATAACCAATATTTTTTGTATTCCTTGTCAGAGAGTTAAGTTTATATATATTCTCTCCACAGTTATCAGTTCGTTTACAAGAAACATTTGTTGAAACTTGGGCTGCATGACTGACACATATTTGAAAACTTTGATATTCAGTTAGGCCACTTTGTTATTTCAGTGTGAATTCAGAGATGTTTTGTACTGTGACTTGGACCTTTAAAAGCTGGTTGACTGATGATATTTATTGATCTTCAAACTAAATACCCAGTTGATGACGTTCGATACACTGCAAAAAACATTATCTGTGACTAGTACTCAAAGAGTAGAATTCAACTTCCAGGTAGCAGATTTGGATTGCTGAATGTATTAAAAGATGGTCGATAGTTTTGGAATGTAACATGATTCTAGCTTGATTTTTGAAGAAGCAGTTACACATTTGTCTTTTGATGTATCATGCTGCTTGTGTTCTATAAAATTTACCTTGATCACCCCAATGTTGTAGATATTTTTACTACAAGCACCTAAGCTTGTATAGGAAATCGAACTCTTTGTATTTAATATTTTAGGTTATTTATTTTTCTCAAATTAAGTGATGAAAATTTTTATTAAAAACAGAATAGCTTTCAATTGTATTTGTGATTTATATTTGAATAAAAAAGTTGAACCTGTTCTTTCTGTTCATTGGCCTTCCAGATGAGTATTTCCACTAAGCTGATACTTAGCTTTCACATGAAAGATTGAATTGATGTCAAAAACAGATTACATTCTTCAAAAATAAAATGACAAATTTAGTTAGGTTTTTGTCAATGCGGTCCGTTGCAAAGTGAAACTTTGCCTGACTACCGAACGACATTAGTCTTTTTCTTTCACTGCAATTTTCACTACAGGGCAACTAGCTGAAACAAGAGCCCGAAAACATTTGTGATCCCGTAATTTTGACCTGCCTTAGGTTTCATCAGTATTGTTAGTCTAAACTATGAATGCATTGCTAGAATTGCTACCTTAAAATTGCAGGCCTGACTAAATAAAAACGGTAACATTTTTCCATACGTTGACATGATGGATAGACTTGAATCTTTGCTTGTTTGTCATTTTTGAAAAAAAATGAAGTGTCTATTTTCATTGTAACTGATTTTTTTCATAAAAATCAGTTCTTATTGAAAATAGCTTTTCAAGACTGACATAATCAAGTGTCTATGTAACACTATTGAATGTTGTAACTTTGTTCTGATATGGATGTGTCTTGACTTAGAAAAACGTTTGAAACTTAATATTTTCAAATGCTTGAAAAACAAATCCAGGAATTCAGATCGTTGTTTATAAAAATATGATGACTTGTTAACTAAGGCATGAGTTAGTAATAATAATATCGTAAAAGCAATTTCTTCTCTATTCACTTACATTACAAACAGCTACAAAAAATAAAATTAAATGCTATTCTTAGGACCCTAGGAATCTCACGTTAAACAGTAAAACCTCGTCAACCCTTATCTCGAATAAAGTTTCTGAGGGTTGTCCTTCGTAAAAGGAAAACTGCTGAAAAATAGAGGAAGATACCAAACAATTTATTATCCCTTTTTTACCACTCGTGTGATTTGATGTGTAGTAGAGATATCTATTAGTATGTGTTTTCTTTTGATATACATTTGTATCAAATTTATCTTACCTCAATATTGCATCAGATTGTGGAAGGTGAAAATACCCAAAGAAGGTCGATAAAAAACAAAATTTTCTCCACAAAAAATTACTTTTGTTCTATAATAATGTTATAATAGAAAATATACTCAATAACTAATTTTTACAATATTACTTGCTTTGTATCTTTCAGCTTTCCTTTACAACCTGACAAATACAAATAAGCCTTCTTACGCTGGCCAATCAGATTTACCTGCAATCGACTGGGCGGAATTCATTGTTACAGTGTCGTAGTAGTCAGTTATGTTTTAACGCTTGTGGTGTGTACATGTACGGTATTTTGAAGTTTAAAATGTCAGTACTGATACGGTTGATGAAACTCGTAATTTGTGTCCCTAAACTCCACATAAAAAAATTCCTATACCCAGCCGCATATTGAAAAAAAAATCGGTCGTTTCTTAGTACAAGCAGCCTTGTCTGGAAAGTCACGTGCACTGTGCATGACAATGTTTTGAAGCACTTTGTTGCTTAAATGGACAAAGTATAAAAAGACAGTCAATTGGGCCTGACCATCGAACCAAGCGCTAGCTAGTATTTTGACAAATTTTCAGCAATGTATCTATCAGTACCAGAGAGAACAGTAGAGTGTTTAAGTGGTTACTTTCAACCTTTGATTTGTTTCAGGGCTAGAATTTCTATTATTCTTTCTTTATTGCCGTTTTTCACAGTATCCTTCTATGCTAATATCTTTTCATTATCATGAAATGGTAAATAAACAATAATAAACTCATCACTTTGGTTATTTAGATCTTTATTTTGAAGTTAGTAAATTCGGTTACGTTTATATAGGAATTTTGACATTGACCAGATTGACTTAATGGAATCCTTGAAAACTTTGCCCTTTTTTCGAGCCAGTGCAAAGTTAGATATCTCCATGGATTTTTTTTCCAATAAGGAACTCATAATTAGAAAATTTTCATATTTGGTTGGTATATGACGAACAGGAACTTAAGGGAATAACAAAAATTGTTAAAAGAAACAGGAAAATGGTAAGTAGTGTAAAGATAAATAACACAATAGATTTGTTATTACCAAAGGTTTAGTTGAACACTTAATCCACTATTCCAATATAAATCCAATATTAAATAATTTCAGAATTATGTTAGCACATATAGGTGAAAACATCCAAGAACCATATCGTCTCATATTTCTTCACAGTAGTTCCTGAGAATGCCAATTCAAATGAAACCTTTAAAAGTCAAGTTATTATTGGTGTTTCTTATTATTCACGAAAAATGGGAGTTGATAAACTAAATTGTATCATTCATGGATATTAATTAACCTGTCAACTCTCTCTTGATTTGATTCAACAAAAGTCAGACTAGGTTTACACTATTGAAAACACTTTTGCTGCCTCTCAACATCATCTGATGATTTTTACTTGGTTAGCGAAACGCGCGTCAAGAGAGCATTTTTGTTCTGGTGTGTGAAAAGTGTTTTCAATATATTCGTTTTACGCGAGACGTTCAAAATTCTACTTATCAAGTTAGGTTTACACACTTGAACGTAATTATTCCAATTACTTAAAAAATCCACATTACATGACAAATAGAGATGACTTTTTCTCAACACTCCAAAATAATTCAATGATCCTTCTTCTTCGGCTTCTTGGGGTTACGAGATCTAGATTTCGCTTTACACAGAGGGCAGATAGGAGCATTGCGATGAATCTGTTGATGACAACTCAAGCAAGACTTCATAGGAGGTGGCTGTTGTCTGTGAAAGTAGTAAAAATTCAGTAAAATTACATCAAATGGGGTCAGTTTAATTTAACACTTGTAGATAATAATATATTGTACAATTTTGAGATACCAGTTTTTCAAAACTCGTGTCGATAATGAGCTCAGTTCAGCAAATAGAATATTATCCAACCTGGAGTTTGCATTAATAATATATTTGGGAACATGCTGCTATTCTGATCAAAATAATGAATGAGCTTCTTAAATTTCAAAAAAATATCACCTATGGATTATTACAATGTGACTCAAATAGTTCAATTGAAAATCAATTCGAAAAATCGGCTATGGAACAGAAAAGAAATTTGTAGTACAATTCTCAAAAATAGTATTGCATTAAAACGAAAACAATGTTGTCAAGGTTGTGATTCTATATATTTCATCATTTTTCTTTGTCTGTTTAGAATAATTTATGTACGCCATTGTAAGTGACAAATTAAGGCAAAAACGTCATTCATTTCTGAAAATTTAGTGCCTACTATTTTGGAATTATAGTAGATATATAGTTTCCATATAAATTTTTCGCCATCTCTTGAAAAACTGTTACCTCAATTTAATTTACCAACATCCATGTTGCAGATATTCTCTGCTGTTCAAAACTCTCTGATATTTCAACAGAAGCTTGTAGGTTCAATATGACGTTAGATATATCAATCCACACTTAAATCCCACTTCGATATACATAGATCGCGAACAAAAGTGTCTTTCAGATGCAAGCTGGTTGAAAAAGTCCCAGAGAAACAACTACTTTCAAGGAAATTAACCCTGAATAACATGGAAATTACTTTTTTTTATTCAGTTAGTACTCTAAAACATTCCTAATGAAATTGAATCAGATATTCACAGGAATATTTGGAATTTTTGATAGAGAAAACTGCAAAATTCTGTTAAAAAAAGTAAAGACGATTATAATAGTGAAAGTTGGAGGTATAATGAGTTGAACCTAAAAATAATGAGCAGCCACAGTTCGTCGCGTATTTCTGATATGTACCGCTTTTGCTGGAATCAAATGTGTCAAGCTTGAACACCTCCCGTGAAAGTATCTTTAAAAGAGAGATAAATCTCCAACCTTTTCGTTGTTACAGAGTCTCAAGGTTGCAAGTGATGTTCGTGTCTCCAATCAGGCGGATGGCTCTTTTCTAATAATAATAATAATAGGTCTTTATTCCCAGAATGATACAAAAAATATGTGTGAACATTTACTGAAACGGGAAAGGCTGAAGATAAGCTGGTTTTATCAAAAGATGCAACCTCTGTTTTTCGGCTTAGGCCATTTGGGTGTGCTCAGGGTATGCTTAGGGGCCAAGCTCCATACATGAGAACAATACTCCAAAGAACGTCCAATCTGAGCTTTATAAAGCATCAAAAGTTGACGAGGTCTGTACAGTTTTCTAGTTCGGAACAGTGTTCCAAGCTTTTGAGAAGCAGCCTTTGCAATTCCAGCGACATGATTGTGCCAAGAGATATTGTGAAGTTTTTGTAGCTCAAAGGAAAATCATACGTATCAACGAAAAAGTGAAGCTTACATATTTTCAAAATGTGTGTCTTTGTATTCAGAAACAAAAATCTTTTCATCTCGAACAATGCTGTTGATTATTATAATACTTGTCTCAGTAGAGAATCACACTTACCAGCCTACAGAATTATTATTTTGTATAAAGTTCCATCTAGAATTGCCTGACTTTCTCAAAAGTTGAATCTCGGTAGCACCTTTAAGTTCAAACTAAAACAATTCTTTGTGGATAGAGGTTTATATTGTCTCGATTAATTTTTAACCACTTGAAGTTTTTGTATACTTTTTATTTTGTTTACTTTTCTTTCTGGTATGTGTTTCCTTATAGAATGTATTTATTGTCTATAGAGAAATAAAAAAAAATTATTACATTTTTTCACATAAGCTCACTTGAAAGCATATATTTTCAGAATAATTCAACATTCCTCCACACACTTCTATGTGTTATAATAGTTTGCTGTCCATAAATTCAGAGCAACATAAATTCAGTTATACACAAACAAGAGAGGATAAAACTATCTTCCAAGAAATTTCATACCACACAAATTATGAATTTTTAGATCAATTTCAAGAATATAAAGAGAACAAATGATTATGGATTAAACTTTTTACTAGATTTCTCATATTCTTTGAAGAATTCATTATCAAAGTATGTATTTAGTCTTCAGTACTTATTTGTTGTTGTGTTGTTCTTAATATATTTATGAATAGCTTGAACTTAATTGTCATTTTATGTTTTTACATCACACATGAGCTTTCTCTATGTATATTATTTTGTGTTATTATTTTTAAGAATAATTATATTATTTTTTTCATACAGTTCTTGTATGAATATGACGAAATAATAGATTGACTGTCTCGTTATACTAACATAAAAGGGATTCCACTAATATGTCCAGGAACCTTACGACTATCCTTATACTGGAAAATATCAGAAAAATGATTTTCATTTCTAAATATTAATGAAAATGTAAAATGACATTGTATTCCCCTAACTGTGAAGGTTGATGTAAATTTTTCATAAAAAAAAGTCTGAAAATGAGAAATTAAGGCATGAGAACTAAGAAGAGATCTAACATCTTTTGACAACGTCAAGGGGGTTGGTTAAGTTCACGTCAAGAATAATGTTGCAGCTCTGGTGAATGAAAAAGTGATTTTTCAATGTAAATTGAATCTAAAATGGTCATTCTTATTTTAAGCATATTGATGAGATGGCCTAATCTATGACGAAACTGCTTCCTGTTGCACTTTTGTCTTGAATTTGACTGTCTTATGAATTTCTTAGAGAGAAGAACTTAGAATTATTATTTTTTCATTTCATTTTTCATATACTCATTGAGAGGAGCGAAAAAATTATTTTGTCGTATTCATTCCTAAAAGAGAAATGTACTCTTTTATTCTAGTAATAATTGAAATCGAACAGTTAAATAGTTTTAATTGAATAATAAAAATAATTTTTCTATCAAATATGTTTTTTACAAACAACAATCATGATATTTTGTTTTCATTTATCGGCATGCATGAAACTAGAATACTCTCTTGAAAAGGCACATACTTTCAAATTATTCGTATTGTTATGAAAACTATCACAAAATAATAGGTTAAAAATCGGGGCACCTTAGACTAAGATCCGACCTGAAAGTAGGTGTTGGTGGTCCACCGTGGGGAGAGGATGACAATGAACCTGGCCGACTCGAATCTTGTTTGTTTGTCACTAGCCTCAATGGATTTGGTGGTGGTAGAAATGTTGGAGGCAGCGGCGGAGCCAGGGAGCTTATTGTGTTGTCATTTGGAGCAATTGGCCTATTCCAGTCTGCTGATTTGTTAAATGATGAAGTTTGAGACTTGGTTGAATTATAAAGTTGTGAGAATTTCCTGAAAATTAGCATGAATTGGAACTAAAAAAAGGAAAACACAAAAATCTCAGTTGAGCTACATAAATAACTACTGATAATTATGAAATGATATCAACTGACTTGAAAAATTGTTGTAATGCTAATTTATTATCGGTGAATGTTTCAAAAAAACAATATCAAATGCTTGTTTGATTTTTTTTAAGGACAAAACACACGCACTACAGGAAAACTCCTAAGGCGCTCTAAGAGCGGTGCCTGTGCGAATGTAGCAATTCACATTGGATTTGAATCTCTGGAAATTAAATCCATTTGGAAAAACGTTCTCAGGAAGTTTATTCCACATAACCGGAGTTTTCCAAATGAAAGAGTTCAAGGTGTACTGAGTTGAACCTCAAAACGATGAGCAGTCACAGTGCGTCGCATATTTATATGTAACGTTCTTGGTGGAATCAAATGTGCTAAGTCACTTGAACACTTCCCGTGAAAGTATCTATAGAAGACAGACAACTCACTAACCTTTCTTTGATGTTCCAGACTATCAAGGTTGCAAGTGATGTTTGCGTCTCCGATCAGGCGGATGGCTCTTTTGGATGGAATCCAGCATCTTGAGGGTATGCTTAGGGGCGCATGAGAACAATTCTCCAAAAAAGGTCTGATCTGAGCTTTACAAAGCATCAAAATTTGCTGAGGTGTGTACAGTTTTCTGGTTTAGAACAGTGTTCCAAGCTTTTGAGAAGCAGCCTTCGCAATTCCAGCGACATGATTGTGCCAAGACATATTGGTGTCCAATTTAACCCCCAACAAACTTATTCAAGCAGAAAGCGGAGTTGTCTGTACTGACATTTTTATATTTAGTTCAGAGACATTAATTTTTTAACTTGGTTACTTTCACCCCAATTCGAAATCAATTCTAGATCCTAATAAAAGTATGCAACTATTCTTGAGATTGCTTAGTACATACTACTACTACCATTAGAAATAGAACCTTCACCCTTAAATTACCCATCCCCACCTGTACTTTAGTTAAGAAACCTATCTTCCATGAAGATGGTAAATTTTCAGCTACTAACCAATGAAGTTGACATCTACTAATGTGATCGACAAGCAATTCAGAAAACCAGCTGACAGATCCATTTCAACGATTCTTTTTTATAATTTCAAGTTATGTATAATGTTCAAGCTAAAGGCTTTTTCAAGTGTTTGCTTATGACAATTAAACATTCATCATTATCAAATGGAATAAGTAAAAACTGGCAATCATTATCATATTGTTTTTTAAATAAACACAATATAAGCTAGAATTGTTTTTCTCAAGAGTTACAGCATCATAATTAATAAGTTTTTGGAATTAATTTTTAATAATAATAAAGGGAATTTATTATTCCAGGATACTCCTTGAGAATTTCAGCCTCCAGCATTATTTTCATGTCAGGAACAGTTCCACCAGGATTGACATTGAAATATTGAAGTAGGTTAACTATCTGCTCTCGCGAAATGTTTTGAAGTAACTTGACCATGGTTTTATCAAATGCGTAAGAACTATTCACTTCTTGGGGTCACCAATTGTAGTTTGTCTACTTTTAAAATACGTTTTTGATTGAAGTTTTTATTAATTCCTTATTATATTTTCTAAAACAAAATCATCTAAACAAACACATCTCCTAGCAACACTTAGCATACTCCATTTGAAGGAAATTGTAGGGCACTACAATATAAAGAATATTAATACATTGATCAGCCTTAATATATACGGACCACTATTTTCGGCATCGGTCATAATCCTTTCAAAAATATTTCACAAGGAAAATGCAAGGTTACTGCAACCTCCAGTTCAAATATCATAGCTGGAATACATTTATCCTCATATACTGGCACAAACTAAAGACCGTGTTACAACTAACACCATCCATCAATTATTCCTGTTACAATGTACATCCTTGATTTAGTTTTTTAACCCATATAATATAAGATGAAAAGAAAGTCAATAGGTTTATAACATAACAATTGATCCTCCTAGTATTAACTGACAAGTGATACTTCAAGAAGTGAAGCCTTGCCCATATCACAGAAAAGAACGAAAGATTTCTCGATGTGGTCACATCAAAAGTTGAGTTTGCTGAAAATTAAAATGACTGTCCCACTGATAGAGCTACTGTGTAGCGAAACGCGTCATAAAGAACTTTTATTGTGAAAAATATATAATTATCATCATGGATATTGTAAAATACGTTCATCAGGAGGAAACTGGAGTACACCACAATAGTTTAGTCACTTTAATACCAAAACAATATTGCCAGCATAGATGTGTAGAACGCAAGTGACTTAAGCAGGAAATATATCAACAATCTTTTAGACACTCTTGATTACCATCCACTGAAACAGAGACGTGATTGCTTGTCTCTATCGTATACAATATAATTAACAGAAGAATAGATTGTCCTTATCCATGACCATCAAATTAATTTTTATCTACCGAAGCTAGTTTCATGACAGGAAATTATGTTTTATATCATATTTCCTTGAACTAATTTATTAGTCAGGTCTGTGATCAGCTTTATGTAAGATTTTCAATGAAAATTGTACTATTAGAGATAACAAACTCTGGTCTGGTAAGCCGTGGCCCGTAAATATAAACAATGATAATCTGAAATCTACTTCAACTATTTGTGAGCAGAATCAGAATTCTACTTTGGATTTATTTTTAATATTTTGTATTTTATTCCATGTGAACTTATGTTACTATCCTTTTTTTTTTGTTATTGGGTGTATACTTGGGAAAAAAATATTATTATTAATTTCTAATTTATATCTCAAAGACTACCCTTTATGAAACTAATACTTACCTGGTGTCTATTTCTATTCATTCACATGTTAGGAATCACACATTGAAAGGTAAGACCTCGTTAGTCCTTAGCTCGCACAAGTTTCAACTTTTAAGAGTTGTCGTTCGTAGGGGTGTGACAGCTAGTTAACGAAAAAACAGATTTTTTTCAGCAGATTATGTAAGAGAGTGAACAACAGACTGTTTGGAATGGGGCCTTTATCGCTTTTCATGAATTTCATTCCACATTTTTCGATTTCTCAACTTTCAAAGGCATCTATAAAGCTATTATTAACCAGTCTCAAAAATTTCTAGTATTCCTCACTCACTCAAACCTATTTCAGAAATTGTATTGACGTGTCTAAAAACTGTGTTCTTCTTGGGACTAATAAATATTATTTTATTATTATTATTCTGTGGCCGTTCTCTAAGGTAGTTGAGTGATACTACATTGCTCTGATATACGAAACTGAACATACGCAGCATGATCCTTAAACTGCGTTATCGAAGTTCGCTTAGTTTGAGAAACATACCTTTTATCACAATCATCACAGCTTATTTCATCAATCTCAGACTTTCCTTCAGGTTCAGAATACGATGTATATCAGAATAATAATAATAATAATAATATTTATTAACTTCTCTCGTTAAAAAGTATAAAATTTCTTTCACAAAATAGTACACAGTAACAAGGAAGACGTCCATAGTGTGACCATAACACGGCTACATTTTCTTGTTCAATAGGCTGGTCACAATTTCCTCAAGTAAAAAATGGTGCGACATCAAAAAGTAGTCATCAAGGAAATAGGCGACAGTCAATAAGTTAATAAGAAAACAAAAATTTAGAGAGTGTCTTAATGAATATTTCTGAAATACAATGTCAGGGTAATGGAAAAGCAAAAGTCTGGGATTTACCAAATAAACTGTGAGGATTGCGATATAAAGTATGTTGGCCGAAAAATGTTGTACAGATTTGGTTTCATACACTAGAGAAGTCTAGTGGTGCTCAACATGTCTCAAAAACAGCCATAGAATAAGTGGTGAATGCTTAAAATTTTTGAGACTGGTACATGACATGTTTCTTGGTGTTTTCGAAAATTTATAAACGAAACAATGTTAAATGATATCTATAAACACTGATGAAGGTCCCACTCCAAACTTTCCCTTGTTCACTCTCTTACATAATAATTAGACGTAGAAACCAGGTAAATATTAGGTAAATAACAGGTAGTTATTAATATATAAATTAGGAATGATGATATTATTACTAACTAACCCAAAGCTAATAACATACTCTGGGGTAACACTAGAACCTTCTTCTTCGTGTAACTCAGGTAGACGATCAAGACCTAAACACTCTCTTCTCAAGCGATCAATTTCATTCTTAAGAGGTAGATATTCCTCATGAAGCCTAATTGCAGATCCCATAGATCTAGTTCTGCTTTCATCTGCCTGCTTGATAACTCCTTCCATCTAAAAAATATATTTAGTAGTGTTCTCAGAAGAAACAAATATTTTCATGAAGAAAATGTTTTCATTATAGAATAATACTTAGATGCAGTTGCAATATAGGTAAAGCAGAGAACAAACTAAATTCTATAAATATTATTCTACTTAACAATATCAAATTCTCATGAAAATTTTTTATTTATTAATCGATAAAACACAATTAAATTTAAATAAACACTCATCAAAACTCTTATTGAAATTATTTCGTTTGGCACATGGTAAACCATATTCCATAAAACAGAGTAGTTCACCCTTTTATCGTTCTACACAGAGAACATTGACAATGGAAATGTTTGAAGGTGGTTGACAATGTTTCATGATGAATTTCATTACTTCGGACTTCCATTGTCTAATATATTGATAGATATTGATATAATATGATTTAAAATCTTTGAAAGCACAAATGAAATTGAAAATTCAAATAGAACAGCTGAAAATCAAAAATAAAAATTATAACTCTGAAAAAAATACAAAGAAATAAAAATAAGCAAAAAAAATGAACAATTAAAATTAAATAAAATACAAATTAAAAGATTTCAAGCCAAGTTACTTCACTTTTATTTTCAGCTATTCTGTTTAAATTTTCTATTTTATTTGTTCTTTCAGAAATTTCAAATAATATTATATCATATTAGGCAATAGGAGTTCAAAGTAATGAGAATGGAAATGTATTTCTATTTGAACAAATTAAATATAATAGTTTATATACTCATGGAGATGTAAGTCCTCAACACAGTGATTGAAAATCTGATATTTTGAACCTTGAGGATGGAACTGAAGTACCTAGCCTAAAACGTTAACGAAACCTAAACCTTTCAACGGAAATCAAACACCAAACCTTTCATTAAAATAGTATTACCGCATTTATATCTGCGTGAATCTGGCGAAGCTCTTCAACATGGGACATTTTCTCTTGTAATAACAGATCCATCTCTTGTTTGTATTCTGACAAACATTTTTCTTCTTGATCTTGAGCTTCTATTTCGAAAATTAATCTTGCTTTGAGTTTCTCAAGTTGAATGGTTTTTGATCTTAAAGTATTGATTATTTTATATTTGAAAACTGATTATCATTGAAATAACTAACCTTATCTCTTTGAGAGCTTCTAATTTTGCAAATACTGCCTGTTCATCCATAGATAATGACATTTTTTCTAATAACCAAAAAAGTTAATAAAAATTAATAGTTTTGTTTTTATTTCAGGGAATTTCCTCCGTACTCAACTTCAGGACAAACCCACAGCTAACTGACAGTTGACAGCAGTGTTTTGATTTAGGAAATTTCTTCTTCTTATTATTATTATTTTTGGTGTCAGCTTCGCTCTGGCGAATGTTCTGCAGTATATACAGGCCAAACCGGTAGAAATTTTGAAATAAGACTGCGTGAACACATCTGTTTGGACAGAAAATCGGTAATGTACGAACATCTTCAAGAATCAAACCACAAGATAAATGAAGATAACCTCAAAATCCTACAAATATGTAATAAAGGGAGAAAAATGAATCTGTTGAAGGCCATGGAAATTAACAAATCAATTAAAAACCAGAAACATATACCCCTAAACGAGCAACTTGATTTATGTAGGTCTCCTCTCTTGAATTTATGAGTTTACCAACCCCTAGAATTTTTAGGATGATATTTTAAGTTGGCATCCTGTCTCTCAAATACTTGGCCTTGCAGCATACCTGAAATTCTATAAAATCGATGTTCCAAATTCAGATTTCAGATTTATACTTGATAATGGGATCATACCCGAAACCAGTCGTTAAATAATTTAGACAAAAGTGTTTTTATTCATTTCATTCAAGTCAAGATTTAATATTTCGAAATGTCAACAGAAGTTCAATTTTCAGCACAGAACAAAAAAAATAACTCATAAAAATTTACGTAAATCTAATTAACTACACGACCTTAGTATTATTTTTCGTTTTCATCTCCTTAACCTTCACATTAATTTTTTCCTGGAATGAATCATAGCATATGTAACCTCAAAAACAAAATTGTGCTATTTTTTGCATAATTTCATCAAACGCTTACCCTGGAGTCCACATTTCCGAATTGTGCCTATTTTGCACAATTGTGTCACAAATACCGACACTGCTGACAGTAATAGTGTAACAATTGACATGACGAGAGGCACGATTCTGTAATTAAGTAAATCAAACATGTGGTTTGATGGTTCTAAAATCGCCATTACTATTATGATAGTACCGAAACTCCGACGACTCATGAAAACGCTTTCCAGTCGAAAATAGTTCAGCCCCTAACTCATCAACTCACCTGATGAGTGATACAATCTTCTTGTTCCAAAAGTAACTAACAATAATATATTTTTCAGGTTACCGCTTTCAATAATTCTGGTAAGAGCCGTGAAGAAGTGTTTATTTTTGGAACTTATATTAAGAAGTAGCCCATCGTGTATTATGTCTAGTGTTGCCAAATGGATGAACTTAAAGACGCTGCACATGAACCAAAATTCCGTTACGCTTGTATATTTGACACAAATCAGTTCGCGCATTCGCCCCCTCCAAAATTAAATACCACAGAACATACAGTTTGTAGTTTGTGTACCGTTGATACCACAGAACTAAACTGTAACTAATGGCAGGAATCAGGATCAAGCTAATTTTCAACTGCGCTACTCAGTAGATGTTACTTAACTTTCTAAAATTGCAGCATGTAATTTTTGAAAGCTGTCGTCTTGACCAAATATTTCTTAGCTGAAAATGATGATTTTGAAAAGTAAAAATAAATATCAATTTGTTCACGTACGTATGGTCACACTGAGCTCTTGAACGATCATTCGCGACAGATATAATCCATCCTTCCGAATTGGAATCAGACAACCAATGTGGAGAAAAAGTTTGTTTTCGAAACTTTTGGTATTTTTTTAATATGTCCCATTCCCGTCAATTTCAACTGCGATAGCTCTTTCGCTCGAGCTACAATCAGATGAGCTATCTTCCATTTGCAGTGTAATTTGTTCCATATAATTCATAATACTTGAGACAGTCGAGACTTTTAGTTTCAAGATATTGGAGGGTATATGGTTCATGATAGTAATGAAAATATCCAAAAATATGGCCTCAGCTACTAAGACTATAACGTATTTACTGTGAATTCAATTGTCAGCTATCAGCTTCGAGTGCTGTTCACTGCCTCTTCTCCTTCCATATTTATTTCAATATTGATTATTTGTAGAAAATTTCGCTACTTTCTGTTTAAATCCGCTACGCCGCTACCATCGAGTAAATTCCGCTACAGTAGCGGAACTCCCTCTCTGAGGTAATTCCGCTGGCAACTCTGATTGTGTCAACTGCGTCACTGTCATTGTTCTACTTGTTTTTTCAACTGTTCCTGAACTTTTGCTATTGAAGTTATCTTTTTTTTTCGATCTATTTTTGCTAGTTGTGATTTTAAGACTTTTGGGAAATAATATATTATTTCTATCTAGATTTGACCCTGTTGGGCTTTCATTCAAGCGTTCACACGTTCTGACTGTTTATTTTCTTCTGCGTCATATTTTGCCGAGGCAAACAAAAAAGTCCAGAGGCTAAGATGAAGTACTCTCTGTTAATTTCATTTATTGTTTCAATTAGTGCGTTTTCCTCCCAACAAAGTGAGTATTTTTAAAGATATTTTATTAAGGTTATTTTATCATATATTTTACATCATTTCTTGTATGTGTTTTAGATGGGTCAAAGATCCAAGATGATATTGATATCAACGGCAAAAACCATACGGATATTCCTTCAGTCATAGATGTGGTTACAATAGTTCCTCCACGTGAGTATTTTTTATGAAAACTTGTACTTAATCATTTTTGCCTACCAGGAAATATCCTTGTTGGAGTCAAGTTTAAGAATCTACTCATGATTGGTTGAAATATACATTTTAGTCTTTCATAGAAATGAATAACTTCAGTCACCTCCTTTATACATGAATAAGGAGAATGGATTTTCCTCCTTTGATGATCTCTAATGAAATATTTTGTAGAAAAAAATCTGAATAACCTATGGACCAATATTGTGGGAATCCCCTATTTATTAATTACTTCACAAGTTAGTGTGATAAAAAAGATAATGATTCACAAGTAATTCCTTGGGATTTCTGGAAATAGAATATTAGTTATACAGGGTGTAACTAAATAAGTGTAAAACATTTGAGGAGGTGATTTCTCATCGAAAAAAAGATAGGATCTTTCATATAAAGAAATTTGATTGGAGCATCCCTTGTTAAGATACAGCACCTTGAAGGGGGTACATAAAATTTGTATAACAATTTTTTTCACAAGCACTAAAAAAGTTACAATATTGAAATTAACCTGACGTTTTGTACTACCAAAAAGACACTTAGCCAGAAATTTATTTGGTTTACCCCATGGTTGTAAGGGGTGGAAAACTTAACCCCTAAAATGTATTTCCAATGTAACTTTTTGTATTATTATTTGTTTACCATTTAAAAATGTATTTCCGATAGACTGTTTTATTCTAAACAAAAAATGTCTCTTGGATTTTTTGCCCAAAATAAACCAGTTCACAGCAAAAAATTATTTTACGAACAACTACAGAGATACATCGTCATAAATGCGAACTGGATTTATTGTTATTTTGTAGTTAGTACCTGCATTAAACGATTAAAGAGTAATAAACAAAACTAATTTATTAATAACAAAACACACAACATGTCATAGTCATAGTAAATGTTCAATATATCTACCTCGTCTACTTATACATCGTCATAAATGCGAAAATACGAAACTAATCTATCTAGTAGGTCGCTATTAGCGATAGTGACAATTAAATTGATATGACGCTGTCAGTTTGTGAATTTTCGAAATTGAATTATGACTAATTGTGTGTTGTTGTTCTGTTCTTAATTTGTTACTTTAATAATTCACTTGTTTTTAAAATGGCATACACAAATGAGGAAATGGCTGATATGCATTGCGTTTACGGTCTGTCACAGGGGTATGGGTTAGAAGCTTCTAGAAGATATGATGAAATGTATCCTCAACGGCAGCATCTTTCACATAGGATATTTGCTTGACTTCATCAACGATTACGAGAATATGGTTCATTCAACAAAAGAACGCAGGATTGTGGTCGCCATCGAAAATTACGAACACCATAGCTTGAGGAAGCAGTACTTAATTTGATTGAAGAACAACCTACTACCAGTACTAGAAAGATTGCTTTCCAGCTAAATGTTGATCTTATTTCGAATTTTAAAGGAACAACTCTTATACCCTTGCCATCTGCAACAAGTACAGGCACTGTTACCGCGAGACTTTCCGAACCGTCTTGAATTTTGCAATTGGATGCTGGAAATGATTAGAAGAAATTGTGACTTTATTAAGACGATAGAATTCACAGACGAATGTAGTTTTTCTCTGGACAAGATTATCAATTTTCATAATTACCACATATGGGCTAATGAAAACCCTCACGCTATTGTCGAAACTAACCATCAAGAACGGTTTTCTCTTAACGTGTGGCTCGGAGTTATTGGGGATGATTTAATGGGGCCTCATTTTCTACCTCCTCGATTAAATGGTGAGGCATACGTTCAATTTTTAAGAGAAGTGCATGCAGTACTGCTGGAGGAAGTTCCTTTGGGCGTCAGAAGGGATATGTTTTTTATGCATGATGGGGCTCCCGGCCATTTTAGTCAACTAGCACGTCACCATTTAACTGAAACATATGGAAATCAATTGATAGGTCGAGGAGGACCACAGAACTGGCCCGCTAGATTCCCGGATCTCAATCATCTTGATTTCTCTATTTGGGGCCATTTACAGCATTTGGTTTATCTTACTCCTGTTCGCGATGTAGAGGACTTAAGAAACCGTATCCTCGATGCGTGCAGGTTAATCAGAGATACTCCAGGAATATTTGAGCGAATATGTGGCTCAATGCGCCGACGTCTAGACGCATGCGTAATGTCTGAAGGTAGACATTCCCCCTTTAAAGGACTGTATCTTAACAAGGGATGCTCCAATGAAGTTTCTTTATATGAAAGATACTATATTTTTTTCGATGAGGAATCACCTCCTTGAATGTTTTACACTTATTCAGTTACATCCTGTATGGTTAATCCCATGAGTTTTAAAAATTAATAGTTCACTGGTAAATTAACTACTTCATTTGATGACTAGTTTACTAATCCATTTTGTTGAAAGATTTATTACAAGATCCCTTGAGACTTCTGGAAATTGAATATCAGTTATACTGTTGTGCCCCTTTTTTTTTAAATAAGTAACTCAATGGATAAATTATTGACATTTGGATATCTAGATCTTGCTGATCATGAATGCAGTGATTCAGCTCTTTTATTTTTAATGAGAACAACCCTAAGTGACTTAGGGTTGTTCTTATTAAACTTTCCTTAGATGGGAAAATTTATCTGTTATATCAACAGAAAACTCAAACCATAATTATCAAAGGTAAACTAGAGTCGAATCATTTAATATTTTCTTTCACAGATTCTCTCAATACGGAGTTATATATGAGAAAGATAAGTAAAAACAGTCTTATTTATTGTGAAAATTCTATAATTATTATCATGGATAGTGTATTCATACTTTGGCAACTGACAACTGAGTAAGACATACATGACAAACCAATAAAAGATATATAGAAATGGTATTTAAACAATAGAAACAGAGCACATTCCATGGTGAACAGTGACTGCTACTATGTTACTCATTATTTTGATGAATGATATTTTACAAATTCTAATAATGACGGTAATTTTTGTCGAATCACTGATTATGCTGATGATGCAAATGTGTCAAGTTACAGCAATCCAGACTATAATTATGAAGACAAGTAATCTGTTAGACAAAGAAAGTCACTGGTTTTCAAAGAACAATTTGTTTCTAAATGTTGAGAAAAGAAATGGAATTTCATTTACAACAGCACTGCAAAGAAACAGCGAGTACAATTAGTGAAATAATGAACTCAAAGTTCAGGTCACAACAAAATTTCTTGATAATTACCTAAATAAAAAAATCATTCCCAATTTAGTTTTTCGTCAATAGTTATACCCAAAAATGTATTTGTAGTGCCTGTCGATTTCACTTATCAGTCAAATTAATGAACTATTTTTTTTGGAAGTCCTCAGAAGTAGCTTCGATTTTGATGTTTTTTCCAATTTTTGTTTTTCTATATTATTTGAAATCAGAAAACTTAAGGAACAAAATTATTTATATTGTTTGAAAAATATGCATGATAAAATGTTGTATATATATTGTATTTTACGAGAGCTTCCCAAATTTCAGCTAACACAGTTGTCGGTTTTAAATATTGGTTAAACCACCAACTTGGGAAGCAAACTTGGGTGACACACCAATAGGTGGTTTCATTTAGTTCTTCTCTGAGTTCACTTAGCAATTTTTATCAAGTACTCGTTTTGGTTTTTCACAATTTGTCTTCAATCTAGGACTGCCTGCCTGGTACTGATGATGCCCAAACGAGCTGAAATAGTTGTCTATTGATATATCTTGTTTTGAAATCAAATTATAAATGATCAAAATAGTACTCATTCATTTCATTTTCATGGAATACCACGCTATGCCACACCGGTTAGTGTAGTGTCTGACTATTCATTTTTGTGTGGCTCATTTGAAAAATATCTTCATTATTAATATTGACCATTGAATATTGATTAGTTTAAAAACAATACATTAGATTTTACGTAACAACTATGGCTCTAGATGATGTAATTCTAACAGAAGGTTAATATTATCTAATATCTTCGATGATGATAAAGAAATGATTTTTTTAACCCCTTGAAAATAATGCCTTGTGAGTTTATTCGACGAAAACCATGTTACTGAAATATATTATTATTATTACAACAAAAAGTCTCTTCTTCATTCATGCACTCACGGATGGGATACTGCATTTGCTCTTTTAATAATTATTTGGAAGTGGATCAGTTGATACTCATTGTTGAAAAACCAAACTAAGAAGTACTTTTTGATAGAAGTACTAATGATATTCTCACAAGCTATAAGGGTGGTCGTAGAAGTACCTGGCCTAACAAAGAAAACAAAAATTTTGGAATTTTTTTTTTTCATTTTCTAATATACTTTCCTTGCAGCTCTATACACTATTTCCAGTGACTTTCAATAAGTTTGATACCGTTTCTATAATAAGAACTCTTTTGCTCCTCAAAATAGCCATTAACTGCCGACATTGATTCTTAGCCATTTTTTCAAGTTTGGATACAGAAAATAGTTTGAGGGGCTAAATCTGGCGAATAGGGTGCATGAGGTAGTAATTCAAACTTTAATTCGTTGAGTTTGGTCATTGCGATAATGGATTTGTGTGCTGGTGCATTGTCTCGATGAAACAAAACACTTTTTTATTAGCCAGCTGCAGTCGTTTTTGCTTGATTTCTTTACACAAACGTTGCAATAAGATCGCATAATACTTGCTGTTGACAGTTTTACCTTTTTTAAGATGGTCAATGAAAATTTTCCCACACGCATCCCAAAAACCAATGCCATGACCTTGCCTGCAGATGAAACGGTCTTCGCCTTCTTTAAAGCCGGTTCTCCCTTTTGAGTCCACTGTTTTGATTGTTCTTTTGTCTCGAGTGTAAAGTGATGGATTCATGTTTCATCTATGGTTATGAAACGACGCAAGAATTCTGCTTTGTTGCTGTGAAACTTCCTCGCTAGACATTCAATTGAAATATCTTCACGACACTGTTTTTGCTCGAGTGTGAGCAAACGCGGCACCCATCTTGCACACAGCTTTCTCATGTGCAAATTTTGA